CACACACACACACACACACACAGATCATGAGATAAATGTAAAGCTGTGTGGATCTCAGGCAGGAAGGAGCGAGGCAGGGGGTCAGGTCAGGGTCACGTTAGCTTCACACAGTTTAACACACACACACACACACACACACACCTACACCTACACACACCCACACACACACACACACAAAGCTTGGCTATAGGCAGCATTGAAGAGCTTTACACCATATTGACATCTCACAAGCTGTAGATCAAACCTTGAGTCAATTGTGTCACATTCGTGTGTGTGTGAGAGTGTGAGTGTGTGTGAGTGTGAGAGTGTGTGTGAGTGTGTGCGTGAGTGTGTGCGTGAGTGTGAGTGTGTGTGTGTGTACCTGTGTTGGCAGTACTGGCCGTAGTGGTTGTCTCCACAGTCACAGGTGTATCCGTGGGAGGAGCTTGGCTTCCTGTGGCACTGAGCATCGTTCTCACATGGATTCAGGTGACAGGCGTCAGTGCAGCCTCTCCCATAGTAACCTGACAGACAGATGGATGGATAGATAGATTATTTATCCTCTAGGGGAAAGTCATGTGTCCATTATGATGTAATGGAGATATGCAGATTGTACTTGCAGATGCAGATCACCATCTGATTGATATTTGTATATTTATTACATGAATATTAAGTTATGAAATGAGCAGCTCCAATATTTACAGATTCAAAGATGAAATAACAAAAAGAGTGAAAGCATCACGTCACACACCTGCTGCTGTGTTNATATCATGCCTGTGTGTGTGTGTGTGTGTGTGTGTTGTGTATTAACCTGTCAGTCCAGGTTACAGTGGAACCACGGTGATCCTTTAATCCTCACAGTATTGATGTAAATGTAACCAGCAGGTCTTAAACCTTAAACCTCTCAATCAGCTCTGCACTGACAGATCAGCCTCTGATGATGCGTTCACTGTCATGGGTTAATCCCATGCTCCTGTTTCCATCGGCCTTCATCACATCTTCCCTTTATCAACTTCTCCCTGCATGTCACCCCCCCCTCCCTCTCCCCCCTCACTGTCATGGGTTAATCCCATGCTCCTGTTTCCATCGGCCTTCATCACATCTTCCCTTTATCAACTTCTCCCTGCATGTCACCCCCCCCTCCCTCTCCCCCCTC